AGGCAGGGCAGGTTTCCGCTGGGCGTCTCTCTGCCGAGGCTGCCGGAGCCGTCCTGCTCCACAACCGCAGGCGGGCAGAGATGACCGGCTTCATCCCCCTGCGGCCACGACACCCATATCGTTTCCCTTCAAACACTGAGGTTCCTATTATCCATCAAGGAGCCACAACAACGCTTCCGCTTCTTGCTGGGAAGGAAGCAATCATCGGAGGTCCGTTCTGCAGAAAGAAGAGACCGCGTTCATTCACCGGGATCCTTTTAAATGCAGGAAGGCCACACGAGGATTGCATTCGCCGCATGAGGCCTTATTTCTTCATATAAAACACCTGAGATACAAATATTCTCTCTGAATTCTCTTTCACGTGCAGCGGCGAGCATCACGTGCATGGAGCCAGGCTCTCTTACTCCCATTTATTGCTTAAATATACATAAATATGCAAAGTGTGGGCAAATATTTACAGACAAGCAATACTGGGCTTTTTAATTAACTAGTGTTTCATACAGTTACAAAACAAAACACAACACTGTATTAATAACTAAGCCCAGGAAAATCAAAAATTGACTCTCTTGCTCTCTTTTCACTCCTACTTTGGGGCCAATTAAAAAGCAGCAAATGCAGAAACGGTAGAATGAAATTCTTTTTTGCGCGGCACACAACGAAACTGTGGCACGCGCTGCCCCAGCGTCTCGTGGATGCCAAAAAGTCAGCACCGCTAACAGGGAACGGATATGTGCACGGCCAGAAAGACCAGAGCTAGAATAGGTAAGAACGACGTGAATGCTGGAAGAGCTGCAGACCTCAAGCTGTGGTTGCAAACCGATCTTTGCTAGGGATTAGCAAGAGCGCTAATGCGGCAGGCGGGTTATCTGCTTACTGGGGAGCTGCACATAGTTTCCACCTTCCACCAAACGCTGGAGAGATGCAATAACCGGACACGGGATCTGCTTCAATGCAGCGACTTTTGTGACCTAACCCTGCTCCGCTGTTCACATGAGTAACACGCGCTTGCGTGTGCCTGAGCGTATGAAACATCAGCCTTACTTATCAGAAGAAAAACCAACTGTCCTTTTTCTTCCTAAACAAGGCACGCTAAGAATAAACAGCATACCGCAGCACCAGAGCAGATTACCCAAGAAATACAACCGGGGACGAGATTCAAAAGAAAAATATGCAAGAGGCCTAAAAGTGTCTGTCACGGAAAACCTAATTAATAGGTTTCTGAGCAAACACAAAGGCCAACAGGCAAATAACATAAACACTGCTGCAGAAGACGTACATGCAGCGCTCTGCAGCGCATCAAAGCAACTCCTTATCACACAGCCAATAAAAAAGAGATTGCAACTCCAAAAAGAAACTGAAGACCGAAAAGGTCTGCTCTTAGAGAAGCAAAGGCACTGCCCAGCTTACAACACAGATTCTCCTTTGTTTTATTCCAAAGCCCTGCCAAACTACAAGCCAGGGATCAAAATGAAAAATGAAAAAAATCAGAAGCCCGTAACAAATATTAGCACTTATCAAAGACGCAGCAGACAACCGTTCCTCGCAACGCGCTTATCACTAGTTCTTGCCCGATATAAGGAAACCAACGCGAGGAACGCACCGCGAGGGAACAGCGGCCGAAACAGTCTCTCCCACGGCCTAGAAGAAAAATCCGACTCCCAAATACAGGAGCGAACGAGTGCCGCGCGTAAGACCTGGTTCCAGCAAAAGACACCACGCTAGTGCAATAAGCGTCCAGAGGACGTGAGCGAGCGAGCCGGGAGCTGGCACACCCTGGCCGAGCCCAGGCGCACGCACTCCCCGATAAAAAACATGCAAAATACATTTTTATCTTATTATGCCCAAAGACAACTGTCCAAAAGAAAACCAAGGCTGACGGCTGTCCTGCTTTACACGGAAAAAAGAAAAAAGCTTCGATTTAGGAGAGCACGCCGGCCCGACTCCTACTGTCTCCACAGACGGGAACTAACGGGGAGGGGGTGCGCATGTGTCCGTACGCCCTGTCTATAAAATTCAGCCTGAAAATCAGCGATTTGCAAGCGGCCTATAGGCAGGCTGGGGAGCAAAGCAGCCGCGAGGCCAGGGCCGCGCGGGAGCCGGCAGTGCACCGCCGAGGCTGCGCTTGCCTCGCGCGGGGAAAGATCACAAGGTCGCAAAAGATATTTATTAGCAAGAAATTAAAAAAGAGAAACGAAAACTCCTAGGGAATGTGGTCAAGACGTGAGGAGCCACGCGCCCCCGAAGCACAAAATGTAATAAAAGCATCATTTTTTTAAAAGCTCCCACTATGCGCCTTCCGGCTTTTGGAGCCGTCTGGCTCCCGGGAGCGTCTGCAAGCTTTTCTCTGCCGCTAGGCACGCTACTCCCCGAGGTGCCTCGCGAGCGT